GAGACTGATCATAAAACAAAATTGATTAAAAGAAGAACTAAAAAGATCTTTCTCATATTGCAATGATCAATTCTATTTCTTTCACATTAAATACTGTTAGCTTTAATACACATCAGTATTAAGTTTAGATCAAAAGTTACCTCAAGGTGCATTTACTGTTAACATGACTCAATCAAACAGATTAGAGGAAAGAAGAGAAAAGATCGAACTGACAAAGAACTAATGAAGATGGTACAAAGGTGGGCGCCAAGATCCCTCTGGGATCTCTTGTTTATAAAAGTGTATAGTATTGTTATTTACTTTAGAAGGTTGGATGATTATGAAATCAGTCTTGTTGTGTCTTCTCACAGTCCAAACCCTGATTTAAACGCATCATAACATTCCTAAGCACCATGCACTCTTATTTGCTAGGTATACAAACATATGATTACAAATGAGGATCAGTCTCATTAACAGATTGAACTTGTTTAAGATCCACTGAATTGACATCTACATGGATGTTGTTTCTAAAAAGTTCACATAAATTGTACGAGAAAAGACCATGTGACTCTAACAATAAATATTGATCCTGGGGATAGCCTGGTACAAATACTAATCAATCTGTTATGTATACAATACTCTGGCCGTCTGGTGACAGACTACAGCTAGGAGATGGCCTGATATAAACACTGACATTAATCCGTCTCTTACTCAGATTTTCACATCAGCTTTAAGGTCTGATGCTTCTCAAGGACACTTTCCTTGTACATGTAGGTCAGGTTTTGCTCCAAGTATAAAGCTCACACAGGGGCTTAATTTTAGGATTTTGTAATTACCAAGCAGGTCTCACCTAAATGTTTAAATGTATTCATAGAACATTCTCCAATCCTTGTGTGAGCAAGATATACTATGACATAATTGATGATGCAACCCTGGTTACACTGCATAGGTGTCGTTTTCAGAATAATAGTGCATGTGAGCTCTAGGGCATTCCCTAGGTAGGTAAAGACAGGTTTATTTTCCCCAGCAAAAATGGAAATGTACTGTGAAATGTTAAAGAATAGCGTTTGAGATTTAAAGGTTAGTTAATGTGTGTAGGCCTCACCAGACCTACTGTACTGGAATTACATACTTAGTTACCTAACAATAGTATGTAGGTCACACAGACTAACCATGTGTGTAGATAAAGTGTACAAGGTCACTTCACCAGATTGTGAATGAGGCTTTACAGCTGTAATGTAAATAAATCTAAGTGCAGGTGTACTGTACCTCCTTTACTGACCCATATGGGTTATTGCTGAAACTCCTGTATCGGTCATTACTGTATCGGGCTAATTTTCTTATGGAGCTACATGGGCCATTACTGTATTGGCTAGGGTAACTTTCTTACTGAGCTACATGGGCCATTACTGTATTGGCTTGGGTTACTTTCTTACTGAGCTACATGGGTCATTACTGTATTGGCTAGGGTAACTTTCTTTCTGAGCTACATGGGTCATTACTGTATTGGCTAGGGTAACTTTCCTACTGAGCTACATGGGTCATTACTTTATTAGCTGGGGTAACTTTCTTACTGAGCTACATGGGTCATTACTGTATTGGCTAGGGTAACTTTCTTACTGAGCTACATGGGTCATTACTGTATTAGCTAGAGTAACTTTCTTACTGAGCTACATGGGTCATTACTGTATTAGCTGGGATAACTTTCTTACTGAGCTACATTGGTCATTCCTGTATTGGCTAGGGTAACTTTCTTTCTGAGCTACATGGGTCATTACTTTATTAGCTGGGGTAACCTTCTTATGGGTTATTTTTGTACGTATAAGGGAAATCTCCTTACTGAACAGTACACTAGTGTAGGTCATATTGAAATGTACAGGTCATGTGCTGTACTATCAGGGTAACCTAATACTGAAGGGTTATTGCCTTAGTGTCTTGGAGTATAATTGATTATGATACTTTTGATTATATAAATGTACACTTAAGCCTGGTAATGTGTACTGTTTATACTTCATTTTAAAACTATTTGTAAAACAATTTTTTCAGTTTCTATATTTTGAGAGCCATTCAACTCATAGGCTTAATGTCAAACAATAACATCATGTAATACATGTAGAAGAGATTATTTTCTACCACAATACGCTGTGTTATTCCACTCTCAGATAATTGTATAAACACGCAGACTGTTAGATAAATATGAGTTATATACCACACGTGGTATATGACCTTCAAGAGTTTTGATTGGTCGAGAAGATGGACTTTGACCGGGAAGACTTTTTCCACGTGCTTTTTGCCACCTGCTGTTTTGTTTACGTCGTCGGCTGTCAACATCCAACAAATGTTGGTGACGTTGTGAGGTTATGTGGAAAGGGTGGTTATTAAGGCAATATTTAAAGATGATACTTAAAGATTTGATCGCTAGTTTCAGGCAAAATTGCTACAGACGCCCGATATCGTTTCGACGTCACACCGTCGCGTGTCCAGGTCGTGAAACCAAAACAAGATCTGTCACAAGGTCGGGAAATATTTCGTTCTCCCAACGTCCCGTTATCGCTATTTAGACGGTCTGACTATGGCTGAACTTTCACTATAAACGACAACCATAGAACCGTCACGAAGAAACGTAGGCCTAGAAACGTAGGCTAATGCCNTCATCTATTTTATTTTTTCACCAAGTTGTTGCCGAAACATTAATTTTGACAATAATTAAATTTGTAAAAAAAAGAAGTCATTTTTGAATATTAATGAGTGACTTTTTACATATGGGTCATATCACTACGCCAGCCTTGTCAACAAACACATGTGTGTATGTTATTTCCGACTGATCATGAGATTGTGGTAGAAACAGATCACACGACTCGTGGTTGTTGAGTATGGTATTTATTTCACTCTCGTTAGTTAATTTTCAAAAGTTACAGAAAGACACTCGCTAAAGCTCGTGTCTTTTGTAACTTTTGAAAATTAACTAACTCGAGTGAAATAAATACAATATTCAACAACCACTCGTTGTGTAACCTCTATATACGAATTCAAATGAAGTGGAGAGTGAGCTTACAAAGTACGTAAATAGTTTTCCATATTACACATTGATTTCTCTATTTTCTCGTAGCACAATAAAAATACTTTCTGCGATTACATAATTCTTTTACATTATAAGTACGCAATAATTTCGTTAGCGGTAACTTAAAAACATTAACAGTTCTGTGATAGTAAATTGAAGACTAATATTATTAGTCTTGTTGACCCCCACATGGAAGGGTGCAGAGATCTGAATATGACAGGAAACCAGGATATTGGGAGAAAACTTAAATGGGTAGGAAACCCCACACCTTTATATGTCAAATTGGGAAATAAAACCCTGTCGGAGGTGTAAATCATTTCAAATCTAATTCATACTTAGGTTCGAAGAGGAAAACTTGCACAAGTACAGAATATTTGAAAAAAGAATATATTTAATTGCTTGATGACATGCTACCTTGACAACTGCATATGGAGATATGGAGATGAGTGGAATTTTACTACGATAATGTGATTGTGACTGTGGAACTTGGTTAGTACAGATCTCACTGAATCAGATAGTGTTATGTCTGTTCATATCATGTCCTAGTGCATACATACATGTCATACACAGGGAGAGTTTAAAGTCCAATTTGTGATATGGTAGATTCTCAATGGTAAGGTAAACAAGTTGTTATTTAAAGTGTACGGAAACGAGGCTGTTTATTGACTGCTTCATTCATGTTGACCTAGACTGTCAAAACTCTGTAGACTGTCTGACCTCTATACTGGTACCCAACACCAACCATGTCATACACCAACATTCAGTATAAACAAACATCCCACATTGATGGTCAGTGTACCTACACATGATGTCACATAGGAGGTTGGAGGTTTGACATCAGAGACCTTATCTCCTTTCCATTGGTTTACAAACGAGTACAAATATAACCTTACGTGATATAATGGATTAATGATATGAACATACAACGTAGTTGACTGAGGGTGTATACAGTTAAGAAAGTTGTGATTTGTCCAGTGATAGTCTAGCCTATTTAAGGGGGTATGGTATAGTAATGAACCCCAGGAGAATAATACAAGTTGTTTCCATATAGAAGTGTCATAGGAGTAATAAATACTACTCTGAACCAATAATAAGTTTGTACTAAGTATACAAGTAATGTTATTAGTACTGCATTCCGTCCCTAATTTGGGTATTCAGAACCCATTCCCCTATTTGGGTGATGAGAACCCATTCCCCTATTTGGATACAAATAAACTGTTCCCTAATTTCAGTCTGAAGTAATGTTCCCTAATTTCAGTACTTGAATATTTCCCATATTTGGATTCAGAACTCACTCTCTTTGGGTAATAAACTTGTTCCTGTATTTGGATACTAAATTAAATCCCAAATTTTACCCAAACACAAGGAGAGCTTATTACTAGAAATGACCTCTCAACTGTAAAACATAAGATTGTCTGATAATGCCCCTATTGTCTGATAATACCCCTATAGTTAGATAATACCCCTGTAGTTAGATAATACCCCTATTGTTAGATTGTTCCAATTACAGATCAAATGTGAAAATAAGTTACCTGTATACTGTAATACCAAGTCTATAATGCCTTCGTTTACCACTTATTGCCAAAATATTTTAAGGTCTCCAGTATTTTTAACAGTTTCTCAATATACAGGGAGTGATTCTGATGACGACACATCTAATGTGTCAAAACTAGTCAACGCATTCTTGATAAAAGCCGTTCAACCCAGCACGACGTTGTCATGGTTATCCTTACCTAATTGAGTTTCTCAATATGTTTCAGAACTTTTTATAACACCAACATTTCGCCGGACAAATATTGTCAACATAACAAAGTTTTAGTGAACATTTTATTAACAAACAAGGATTTATGAGGATGATGTATCAAGATTAAAACTGTTATGACCAAATAATATAAAAATAAAATATGGAAGGTAATATAACTGTCTGTGTCTGATCGTGGCTTTGTTTCCTGTTTTCCAGAACTCCATCATAGAGATAGTTGCCGTGGTGAATGATGCTGTTGGAACTCTCATGTCCACCGCCCACAGCGATAGACAGTGTGAAATCGGTCTCATCCTAGGTAATTATTGTCAATGTATCCTAAGTAAAGTGTGTGTTGTTGACGTCAGTATTCATATTGAATAAGCATTATGTGAAGCCATTTTATCAATAAGATGTAATTAATCTAATGAGGAAATTTAAAACATACAGAGCATATGGCTTACTAATGGCCCTTATTTACCATGGGTACCAGTAATTACACTGTGGTACCCAATTAGCTGTGACAGCCAGGAATAATATTGTGGTACCCAGTTAGCTGTGACAGCCAGTATTTACACTGTGGTACCCAGTTAGCTGTGACAGCCAGTATTTACATTGTGGTACCCAGTTAGCTGTGTCAGCCAGGAATAATATTGTGGTACCCAGTTAGCTATGGCAGCCAGTAATTGCATTGTGGTACCCAGTTAGCTATGGCAGCCAGTAAATACATTGTGGTACCCAGTTATAGCTGTGACAGCCAGTAATTACACTGTGGTACCCAGTTAGCGGTGTCAGCCAGTAATTACATTGTGGTACCCAGTTAGCTGTGTCAGCCAGTAATTACAATGTGGTACCCAGTTAGCTGTGTCAGCCAGTAATTACAATGTGGTACCCAGTTAACTGTGACAGCCAGTAATTACAATGTGGTACCCAGTTAGCTGTGACAGCCAGTAATTACACTGTGGTACCCAGTTAGCTGTGTCAGCCAGTAATTACATTGTGGTACCCAGTTAGCTGTGTCAGCCAGTAATTACATTATGGTACCCAGTTAGCTGTGTCAGCCAGTAATTACATTGTGGTACCCAGTTAGCTGTGACAGCCAGGAATAATATTGTGGTACCCAGTTAGCTATGACAGCCAGTAATTACACTGTGGTACCCAGCTAGCTGTGACAGCCAGTAATTACGTTGTGGTACCCAGTTAGCTGTGACAGCCAGTAATTACATTGTGGTACCCAGTTGGCCAGTAAGGTGCTTTCTATCAGAGCATAAAGTGTATATAAAAGTTGTTTAAATTACCTAGTACAGGCACACGTGATTCACACACTGACCGAAATTTATTTTTGAGGTCATAAACTCATGTTTTATTCAATGTGTATTATGTTATTTCCGTGATACTTTTCATTCACAATGAATGCTTGGCGATTATACAAATTAATGTTATGAGGGATTAAGTTAATTTACCGAACATGTACATAACAAACCCAACACTTCCTTAACAGTGAATTAATCATTGCTTAGGCTGAAATAGCGCTGTTTATTAATTGGTGGTCTAATAATTCATTGTAGAGGCATTACACCTGAGGAATGATAGAGAAATGTAAATAAGACAGTTAATCACTAGCACCATATATATAACAGACACAGTGAATTAAAATTGGGAGTTAGATGTGTCAGGACTGAATATCTAGAAATGTGTCTCTGAGTCCCTGGTATTATAACATGGTAGATCAGCCAGCTATTTAAATATACAGATTCCTTAACTTTTAATATATGGACGTTTAAACAGATCTACGCAATACACTTCCATTGTATCAGTTAATATAATAGTCTAAGTTGTGGGTATCAATATATCCTACGATAACCAATTGATAGTAAGTTGAACTCTTTAAAACTGTTTTGATGAAACTAACACATGAGAGACTTGTCACCGATTCCAGACACTCGTACAAGATAAAGGCTGTATATGTCCTCCCTTCACACAGATATGTGGTGCAGGCTCTGGCCTGTTTTCTGTACACACACTGCGGACACATGACTGTTGGCTGTGGGACAGTACATGTAACCAGTGTGATAGAATTTGTTACAAGGATGATATAATTGGCTTGATCATGTAGAGACAAGATGTATCCTTGTTGCTTCAGACACTACCGCCAACCCAATAAAAAACAAAACGGAGGTGCTGCTGAAATAGATACAATTCCTAGAAAAGAGCTGTTTTTCATAACTTTTCTTCATTGTCAGATGTATATGCCTTTCTGATTAAACAAAAGAAAAGGCTGTGAACATAAAGGAACTAACTTAGTGATCTGATAAACATGTCAGTACAATTTTGAATAAATTGAAATGTGTCTCCAGAGTAAATGTCATTCAGAGTGAACAGATCATGAAATGGTGTCCTGTATTAACTGAATTCAGCCCAGATCATCAGTAACAGAACTGTACATCATATCAACACGACTTGTTTTCATCTTTGCATTAATTGACCAAGCCAAAAAGGTTTTGTGAGATTCATTTGAGTAATGAAACTGATCTGTTGCTGTAGGCACGGGGTGTAATGCCTGCTACATGGAACAGCTGGACAGTGTTGAACTCTGGGAAGGCGACAATTGTCACCCACAACAGGTAAATATGTATACAACTAATACTTCAGTACTTAGGAGATAAATGACACCCACAACAGGTAAATATGTATACAACTGATACTTCAGTACTTAGGCGACAATTGTCACCCACAACATGTAAATATGTATACAACTAATACTTCAGTACTTAAGCGATAATTGTCACCCACAACAGGTAAATATGTATCCAAAAAGGTTTTGTGAGATTCATTTGAGTAATGAAACTGATCTGTTGCTGTAGGCACGGGGTGTAATGCCTGCTACATGGAACAGCTGGACAGTGTTGAACACTGGGAAGGCGACAATTGTCACCCACAACAGGTAAATATATATACAACTAATACTTAAGTACTTAGGCGATAATTGTCACACACAACAGGTAAATATGTATACAACTGATACTTCAGTACTTAGGCGACAATTGTCACCCACAGCAGGTAAATATGTATACAACTGATACTTCAGTACTTAGGCGACAATTGTCACCCACAGCAGGTAAATATGTATACAACTGATACTTCAGTACTTAGGCGACAATTGTCACCCACAACATGTAAATATGTATACAACTAATACTTCAGTACTTAAGCGATAATTGTCACCCACAACAGGTAAATATGTATATACAACTAATACTTCAGTACTTAGGCGACAATTGTCACCCACAGCAGGTAAATATGTATACAACTGATACTTCAGTACTTAGGCGACAATTGTCACCCACAGCAGGTAAATATGTATACAACTGATACTTCAGTACTTAGGCGATAATTGTCACCCACAATAGGTAAATATGTATACAACTAATACTTAAGTACTTAGGCGATAATTGTCACACACAACAGGTAAATATGTATACAACTAATACTTCAGTCCTTAGGAGATAAATGTCACCCACAACAGGTAAATATGTATACAACTAATACTTAAGTACTTAGGCGATAATTGTCACACACAACAGGTAAATATGTATACAACTGATACTTCAGCACTTAGGCGACAATTGTCCCCCACAACAGGTAAATATGTATACAACTAATACTTAAGTACTTAGGCGATAATTGTCACACACAACAGGTAAATATGTATACAACTGATACTTCAGTACTTAGGCGACAATTGTCACCCACAGCAGGTAAATATGTATACAACTGATACTTCAGTACTAAGGTGATAGTTGTCACCCACAACAGGTAAATATGTATACAACAAATACTTCAGTACTTAGGAGATAAATGACACCCACAACAGGTAAATATGTATACAACTGATACTTCAGTACTTAGGCGACAATTGTCACCCACAACATGTAAATATGTATACAACTAATACTTCAGTACTTAGGAGACAATTGTCACCCACAACAGGTAAATATGTATACAACTGATCCTTCAGTACTTAGGCGATAATTGTCACCCACAATAGGTAAATATGTATACAACTAATACTTCAGTACTTAAGCGATAATTGTCACCCACAACAGGTAAATATGTATACAACAAATACTTCAGTACTTAGGAGATAAATGACACCCACAACAGGTAAATATGTATACAACTGATACTTCAGCACTTAGGCGACAATTGTCCCCCACAACAGGTAAATATGTATACAACTAATACTTCAGTACTTAGGCGACAATTGTCACCCACAACATGTAAATATGTATACAACTAATACTTCAGTACTTAGGAGATAAATGACACCCACAACAGGTAAATATGTATACAACTGATCCTTCAGTACTTAGGCGATAATTGTCACCCACAATAGGTAAATATGTATACAACTAATACTTCAGTACTTAAGCGATAATTGTCACCCACAACAGGTAAATATGTATACAACTGATCCTTCAGTACTTAGGCGATAATTGTCACCCACAATAGGTAAATATGTATACAACTGATACCTCAGGACTTAGTGGATAATTGTCACCCACAACAGGTAAATATGTATATACAACTAATACTTCGGTACTTAGGCGACAATGGTCACCCACAACAGGTAAATATGTATACAACTAATACTTAAGTACTTAGGCGATAATTGTCACACACAACAGGTAAATATGTATACAACTAATACTTAAGTACTTAGGCGATAATTGTCACACACAACAGGTAAATATGTATACAACTAATACTTCAGTCCTTAGGAGATAAATGTCACCCACAACAGGTAAATATGTATACAACTGATACTTCAGTACTTGAGGTTATGGCTACCTAACTTACAGGCTATACATATGAAACATGTTTGAGTTATCTATCTCAAGTATTTTATATTTTTGTCATAATCTGATAACATTAATCAAATTACTTGAGTTACAATTTACATTTTAAGTTGTGTATTATAATTTTGTACTTTAATATCATTGCTTGTAAGTCGTGTTTACCTTTCATAATTGAATATCAATTTATGTAGTTACCAGTGAATTTGTAAATAAGAGTTTTTCATTGAACTCTTTAGGAATGGACATAGGTGTCAACCTCTGAAACATCCAATGAGGGAGATTGCCCTCATTCCTCATTTTCAATGAAACATGACTGAAACGGCTTTGCTTAATTTATCTTTCCCTTTTTATGTTTCAAAATAGCTCCAAAAAACATTCATTTGATTCAGACACACCTGCTATGATCATTACACACTCCCTGCAATAACCAGGAGATCGTGATCACAGAATGTAGATTTTGAGTTTGTATGAGTTTGGACTTGAATGAGGGAGATTGGTAAATTTGGATCAAAATGAGAGAGTCTCCCTCCTAATGAGGGAGGGTTGACAGGCATGAATATGTCACAGTAAAACAATGGCAGTGTACTTAAGCTTTTCTTAAACATGTTTCCTACAGGTTATCATCAACACAGAGTGGGGAGCATTTGGAGACAACGGTTGTCTGGACTTCATACGTACAGAGTATGATAGAGAATTAGACAACTTCTCCATCAACCCGGGAAAACAGATGTGAGTCTCACTGCAGATACAGTCAACCTTTACTCTATATACAACTCATTTAAAGCTTAATTCTAGTTGAAATTTACACCAGTTCTGTAGTGAAATGCTGTGCTTTTGCAATCAATGTGCTCATAGTTTTAGTAAGTTTATCAGTTTGTATGACTAAAGATCAGATCCTTGGTATAATGTATGTTTGTTTCCAGGCATTTTACACTGACATTGGCTTGGTATTTGAATTAGTACATAACTAAATATTACCAAGGTCCAATATGATGCACCTTTTTAACAAAATACTCAATATAATACCCTTCATTATAAAACATATTTATTTTAATAATTTATAAACGTGCATGAAAAATAAGTAATAACTTTATTTGTTTGTTGTCAGCATGGAGAAGATGATATCAGGGATGTATATGGGGGAGATTGTCCGACAGACGCTGGAACGTCTTACAATGGAGGGGCTCATCTTTACAAGTATTGACCGCGAGTGTGAGCTGTTTGTCAGAGGCCGTTTCTACACTAAATATGTATCAGAAATCGAGAGGTATGTCTGAACTGGTTGCAATTAGGATCTGTTGAATATAACACTGGAGATTTTGATGAAAACTGGAAATTATCATTGATTCAAGCTGTTCAGTTACTGTTCAAATTCTTTACTGACCATATAAATGGGATAGATTACATCAATTAAGCTAATTACAGTTAAAGCCATAATATACAATGTATCTCGGGGCAGAATGTATCTCGGGGCAGATCGTTACAGCTATTATAACAATGGGATGTAGTAGATATTAAAGTTAAAGAAATGGTTTCATTTCCTAACGAGTCTCTTGTCTGACTAGTGTTCATAAAACTAGGTAAAGAGTTGTAAACTGGTACATGTAATACGATAGAGGTATAAACATACAGTAGTAATAGTAAGTAATTTCCAAGAAGCTTGCTGCTGTTTATACAGTAGCAGCTCTGTGAGACTGGCCTGACTTGATTTATGAATCCATTTCAGTGATCATGATGAGTTTTTTGGCAATACCAAACAAGTCCTGAATGAATTGGGCATTGAGAACTACACAACAGAGGACTGCAAAATTGCCAAATACATTTGTACGCTGGTATCAGCTCGGGCGGCCTTCCTCGCATCAGCAGGTACGTACATGTTTCATTGGATAGCCAGCATCTGTACCATCTCAAATTCTATTTTGTAATGGAGTAAGATTAATGAGTTACTAAAGATCTATTTGGATACAAATTTACCTGTAATCAATATGACCTCCAATTGGTGTCTTTGTCGCAGGACTCGCCACACTCATCAACAAGCTCAATAAGCCAGAAATGACTATCGCAGTTGACGGCTCACTGTATAGATTCCATCCTCGATTCCACAACCTCATGTGTCTGAAAATCCAGGAACTTGTTAAACCAGGATTAAAGGTAAATATCTTATTATGTATTTGGTGACCTTGAATTGTCAACTTTTAAGTGTAATATTTTAACTCCTATATCACATATTTATTGTGAGCATTGATCTTTGGGATTTTACTTTTTCTGATTGCCAACAAAATTAAAGTTATTTTATATGTATTTCACTATGTGTACTGTAATATTGGATTATTGCTTCTACTATAACCTTTTCTGTTGTATTTCAGTTCAAACTTATGCTTTCTCATGATGGTAGCGGGAAGGGTGCCGCCCTGGTGGCGGCGGTGGCAATGCGTCTCCGTGATCAAGAAATTCAGGAGGAGGAAGAGGGTGTGGCTTGTGTATGACGGACGACCATTCACTTATAATAAACAGCATTTATTGTGTGATTGACAGGTGGATGTGAGTTGAAGATTGCTAGTTTGTACCGCCCTGGAGAAGACCTCATGTTCAAGGTCGTTGTTACAAGGTCACACCGTTACTGCTGCTAGGTTGTTTTACTGTGTGTGCTCGGCCTGTCAAGCCTGTAAGTGAGGCTATAACAGATATATCCAGATAACTACAGTATTTTGTTCTGTATTGCTGTACTCCTAACAGCATAATGTACTAAAATACTCGGTACCAGTTACTAGATCATAACTGAGCTACTCACCTTCCCTGTTATAAAACAACTGATACAGGAGTTGTCAAGCATGTTTCTAAAATAACATTACATTATACTGCGTAAGAAACAGTGCTGATATTCTGGAGTGTTTCCTATTGAGTGACAGGTGTAAGAAAGGTTTCCACAACAAAAGTTTTAATAAGAAAGTCATTGGATTTAGAACAATGTCATATGAGGTCAACTTAACAAATTGAATTTGGATTATGAAAGGTTGGTTCCATATTTGGAGTTGAGATATATAAATTGTTCCAATAGACTGATCATGAAAATAGATATCCCAGCATAATTAAACTGTTATCCTGATGACAATAAAGTATACATCTTAAAGTTTTAGTAGATTGCATCTGAATTGAGATAAAGGGGCATAACTGATATTTCGATAAAGTTGTAAATATCAAAATTTAACTTGCACAGGCGTCATATTTTGTTTTGTCATCTAGGTTTCTAGATGGCAAAATTCTAATGTCACTTAATCTGTAGTAAAGAGAATTCACTTAAGACTGAAGCATTAGGTACTTGGTCACCTGCTTTTGCCAAATCTATTTCATCAGCGTTGGTCAGCTGCAAAATTTAGAGGGTGCAATAGCACAAAACCTGGTATGTACATATCTAGGTGTGTTGGCTGATGTTTGTTTTGAAAGGGTTAAGTATCATAAAACCTGATAGGCTGCCTGCTGGGGCATTGGTGGAACATCTAGGCCTGCTGGGGCATTGGTGGAAAATCTAGGCCTGCTGGGGCATTGGTGGCACATCTAGGCCTGCTGGGGCATTGGTGGAACATCTAGGCCCGGTGGGGCATTGGTGGAACATCTAGGCCTGCTGGGGCATTGGTGGAACATCAAGGCCTGCCGTGGCATTGGTGGAACATCCAGGCCTGCTGGGTCATTGGTCGAACATCTAGGCCTGGTTGGGCATTGGTGGAACATCCAGGCCTGCTGGGGCATTGCTGGATCATCGAGGCCTGCTGGGGCATAGGTGGAAAATCTAGGCCGGCTGGGGCCTTGGTGGAACATCTAGGCCAGCTGGGGCATTGGTGGAACATCTAGGCCTGGTGGGGCATTGGTGGCACATCTAGGCCTGGTGGGGCATTGGTGGAACATCAAGGCCTGCTGGGGCATTGGTGGAACATCTAGGCCGGCTGGGGCATTGGTGGAACATCTAGGCCTGCTGGGGCATTGGTGGAACATCTAGGACTATACTGTAAAACTGGTTTTGGGTTTGGAGGGTGGGGGAGCCTTTTGAACAATTTGATCTCGTTGAATACATCCTGAAATTGATGATACATGTATAAACTATAAAGAAGGAATATACTCGACCATTTTTGATATGCCCAATTTGCTGAAGGTAAACTGAAACTGGTAAAATTGTCCTCTATTTAAAGGAAGTTTGAAGGCAGCTTTAAATGATGTGTAATTACTCATGCCGTATGTGTATGAAACATTTCCTCCGCTGTAGATGCCAAAGTCTTTTTCTCATCTTTGAGTAAATTTCAATAAAGCATTGCATAAATTCTTTTCTTTCTCACAATATGGATTTGATGATGGAAATGATGTGCGTGAATTGTGCTGTGTGAAAGCAGAAGTGCTACTAACTGGTCCTTCCCAAGCGAGAGTTAAAAGTGTCGTTATCTAATGAAGCCGAGATTATTGATAAGTGCAACTTTGTGATATGCTGTTTGAGTCGTACCAAGGCTTAACAATGTTGTTGCATACGTTTTGTGATGACTGAAAAGCCTGCGAATGTTACGTTTTTTGTTGATAATGTTACTGTATATAGTTGTAAATATGTATGGAGGCCTTGTATTGCTATGTAGATATCAGCATTAGTATTGAGGCCTTGTATTGCTATGTAGATTTTGGCCTTAACCGACTTAATATGTTTATAATTGGCTGTTGATCAATATTGAGGTTTTTTTGTAAATATATATACACAAATATACATATACAAAATGTATGTATTTGACTGTTATAGCTCCAGTATTATTTTATTACTTGAACAACCAATCTGATTGAAGCGTGCTCCTAATTTACTATAATACTCTTCATTTCAAAACCAGATCATCATTTAGTAATACACATGTATTCTTCTTAGTAAGCTTGTTCATAATTGACTGCAATATTCTATATTAACCCTTTCACCACTGTAGACCATAATGGACTCATCCAGATCAATGCATGGTCTAGTCTACTAAAGTTGCATAGGGGTGAAAGGGTTAAAACCAACCTTACTACAATATTCTATATTAGAACCAACCTTACTACAATATTCTATAATAACTCATTCACCCTGAAATTTCATAATGAACTACATGTATTCCAATATTTGTATTGTAAGAGTTTAAATGTGTCTTCAGGGGTGAATGAGTTAAAACGTTTGATTGAACACGATTCGCCACATATTACACCAGATCCAAGCTACTTTGATCTGGATCTGGATATGTTATGTTACTTACAGAAAACAAATCCATTTTTTTTGTAATGGTGCTCTATGTTTTAATGATAGTATGGTATAATGTAGAATATCATAATACATTAAGATCTAGTTTTGATCAGATTGGTATACAACATACCTATTATTTAGCTTTGTATCACAGGGGCTAATGTCATAAAAGTAACATTTTTCTCAATGCCGAGGCCAATTTCACAGGAAGCTGTAGCATGATCCTACCACAGGTACTAGCCTCATCTGTCAATACTCAATATAGTATAGGTGTATTGACAGACAAGGCTAGTATCTGTGATCCTACCTGAACATATATATAAAAAAAAATGTTTTCAGCACAGTGCCCAAATTTAAACTGGTGATGGAAAGCCTGGTATATACTATAGGGGAGGAGGATATAAATTGTAGGGCATTATGAGATTATGCAATTTCCTGTACTCATTTAGTAAGTGTTACTCATTATTTGTCGACATGTATCAAGAGGTTATGTTAAAGGACTGTTCAACCATCACTTAATATTCTTAATGTAATATTACATCTCATTAAAAAACGAAAAATGGAAACTGTAGGGGAATACCTTTCTCATGTTCTGTCATATTTCTGATTTCATCCTGTTGTATTAATATTTATTTGTTTTCATTTTCAAAGTGGATTCTAAAAGTTGGATGCAACCATTAACTACGGTCTTAATGTTGTATTAAATTCAGTGTCATTTTTTACACATATTTAATATATTCATTTATAGTACTCGGTTAAGCTTACTCAAGACGTCCTAAATTTCGACATTTAAAATGATATCATAGTGTCAACTTTTATTTGTAAAATTCAAGTGAGTGCATATTTAATTGATTGTACTTACTCACTGTTAACTCACCTTTGTTGACGTCATACCATTAGTCTTAGACTACTATTGACGCTTCTACTAAAGCTACTGGTACAGACTCCCGGTCTGCACCTCCCGCTCTGTAGCATGGGGGCTGAAAACTGTGTAATTGATTATTCACACATTGTGACAACATGGTATCTATATATTTGCATCTTATAAGCTACCAATGGTTCAAGATCAATGAAGCTTAAATTACCAAAAGGAAAGTAATCAGGTCATGAACAGAATAATTGAGAACGTGGTATTTGGTTTGATTATCTTAATCTGTATCTGATTACCATATTATCTCTATTTGGATTATCACTGTCTAGATTACCAATGTTTCACGGTTGACACTGCAAATGGGAATAATTTGGCTTTACATTTGCAAGAACCCATCAAGTGACGCCTTGCATTTCTGTCGTGGAGGCGAATCTCATACTTAGTGTACTATTAAGGTTAACAGATGTCATTGTGTCCTGTCACACTCATGTTTGCCTGCTAGAGGAGCTAGTATTATAACTACAAATACGGTATAGACATTGCTTACCTAACTCAAGGGAATTCATAAAATATATTCAAACGACAAAAGCTTGAAAAACTGTTAAAATTTAAAACCGTCAAAATGTTCTGACAATGACAGAATAACACTGTAAAATGGCGAAGCTGAAGTCGTTCTTTGTAATATTTACAATCAAATGGATTTGATAAATAATATGTATAGTATTCCGATTATCTCGAATGTCGAAAAACGAGCGTAAAAATTAGGACTCAAATTTTTAATCAAGCGTAAAATTAGGACTCAAATTTTTAATCAAGCGTAAAAAAAAATGGAGTTTCTATCATTAATTATGCAATTTTCAAAAAGAATTTTGCTAAATACTGTTGGCCTGATCTAATGCCTATACTGTATCAAATCCAGCGAAACAATAATTTACCATGGCTGTATAGCACTGTGTGCGGAGGAGGATAACTGGACTCTTATCTACTCCTACTCGTACATACAAAGTCAACACTGGTCATGAGTGCTGTGGTCTAAATCTGATAACTCCAGTGTGCTTACTTTGTGTTGTAAACTTTTATGACTGAACGAGGGTCTAGGTCAAGGTCGGGGTCGGTATGTGATAAAGACATCGTTCGATGGTTTGAGCATCGAACGATGTCTGTATCACACGACTATAGTTATTACTGATTATTGAATAAGTATCACTTAAATGTTTGCTATGAATTTAGTTATGACATTTATGTACATTTTCCTCAATGAAATGTTCATTATAAACATGCGATACACTAATAATTTGATACAGTGGACAATATGTTTTCTCCCAAAAATAAAGTGGTTTTTTTTTCATTTAAAAAAAGCAAAACTGATTGAAAAAGTATAGATTATACTTGGACAATATGGCAATGCCATAACAAAACCTTCCTGTAAATCAGTGATTTTTGCATGTGTTATTTATAAGTGATATGATTAGTGTAACACGAAATTTTGATTAAAAAAAAATCAAACGTCTTTATATTTCACTGGGTGTAAACTGTCAGTTTGTTCAAGTATTCGTCCGACCACACAGCTTAACTTATCCTCCTGGGGAATTCCCGGATAGATTTCGGTGTGTTAGCGTCCAAGAAGTTACAAGATCATTTGATTCTTCATCATAGATTTTGTATCCGATTCCTAAAAAATGACTATATAAGCCACAGGGGTGTAATACTACCCAGTGTAAGGTAAGGACCTGTGCCACGTTCCCCAAGAGCTAAGCTCTGCGTCAACACCAATGATCAGTGTTCTCTGTAAGCCAATTTGTGCATCAACGTTTTGATTTGGGCAAGATAAAATGTTACGCTTACCTTACAAGGTACCTGAACACCAATGAATTGTGATCCTACCAATCAATTAATATGATCCTACCAATCCATTGATTGTGATCTTACCAATCCATGAATTGTGTCTTGCCCCTGTGCAGTTATTGTTTGAATTGACATGAAATAAAATGTCAGAATATTGAACTGTGTTTTGTTTATTTATTTTTATGACGTTTAGATTATTCAGTGAAATAAATTTAGCAGCTTTTTTTGTTATGAGAAGACAAACATCTATTATTTTTTACAGACAACAGTTGATATTTAAATCTTAATTTTGGAAATAATACCGAGAACCGTGAGATTACTAATTCTTAGAATAAACGGGAAAACATAATGATTTGTACATTGTATTTCTATTCATACCCTTTAAGCCATTGTTTTACCAGATTAATGACTACCATTGGCTGCAAACCAGAGTTGTTCCCCTTCTGTAACTAGAAACAAAAAGTCACAAGTTGGCTAGTAATTGCTACAAATGATCTAGCAAGTTCATCGAAGGAACCGCAATTATCAAAATATATACAAATTAACGTAAAGAGCATGTTATTTCTCCAGAAGGTCTGCATTTTAAATGGCTGTATTTTGTAACCTTTACAGTGAGCATTTCCCCCGATTAATTGCAATCTAGGGATGCTGTGTATGTCAAGGAAGCGAGAGTAGTCGCCCTTCTGAAACTTAAAACGTTTACGCGCTGGGAAG